TCTGACAACGCTGAGTTACTCACTGACATTTATTCTAGTGGAAATTTTATTTAACACCATTGTAGATTAATATCAGTTAGAGATTTACCAACTAAAAGTTACAGAATTCAAGTGGAAAACGATGATAAGTGAACACTAAAGTTTTTTGATTCAAAGACATTTTCAGATGAGTGGTTTCATTTGATCGATCTGAATCTCCATGGTACACAAATCACCAAATTAAAGTTATTAAGTTCAGTCACTTTGTCTATACACTGAACTGATAAATTATGCAGATAAAAATGAAAACTAAATTTACTTTCTTCTACATAAAACAACCGATGCAAACTGTTTCGCCAAAAAATCATAGTCTCTTGGGGAATCGGTTTGCACTTGAAAAAAACCAGAAAGGTCCAAAGTGAGAAATCGATTTTCATCAATTATTTTACTATTTTGAAAATGCACGTTCTTAAAAAGAAGCTCTACTAATTTACAGTTTTTAAATAGTTATATCTTCTTATCGACTTTAAAAAAGGATACCCTGTAGTTTAAACTTAAAGCTAAGAATATTTCAGATTAATTTTGGATATGAATACATATAGATACATTTCAGTGTTACGGTATGAGGATAACTCATTAAATATAAAAAGGGGGTATTGACGTCATAATTTTTTACCCTGTGAATCTATGGTGGAATTTAAGTGATTGATAAAGAAATAAGATTTGCTTAATCCGATCTACATCATGTTTTTAAAGTATGCGAATGAAAATACTAAAGAAGTTGGAGTGGGTCGCGGTATAAAAGGTCCAATAGAAGTAATAGTTTCATGTTTAAATCATTTGAATTTCAACCCTTAATTTTGAAAGGTGGAACCCACCTCAAATAGCCAAGTAACACAACAACTACTCTTTTAAAAAAATCATAAGATGTACTTGATTTTTAAGTCTCATTTTTGTCAATTCATTTTGAATTAGAAACAAGTGTTTGGGACGGTGAGGAGCCACGGTTAACTTATTGAATTTGAAGCTTTGGGTCACTGAATACGAAGTGGAACCAAATTAGACTGAAATAAGCGATATGATTGAAGATATTCTAAATACGACAGATTTCGAAGATACTGATATTAAAACACTAAGTATGACATCTTGAAAATAAACAACGAAGACAATGATAAAGATTGGGATAAAAAATATATTTGAATAGAGGGAGAGATAGATGAATATAAGAATACAGAAGTGACTAACTAAAGGAAGAGATACATCTCACATGAGCCGTGCAATAATATTACAATAATGAATGTCCAGTTCTCTTCAACTACCACAGTCTTTTAAAACTGAAAAGGACGATACCAGTGTCTAATGACTATAAGACTAATTATTTTGGTGAGAAGACGACGATCATATACCTAAAGTAATCAGATTTATATTGTTCCAAAAACGAACCAAAGTTCAAATTATGAATCGTTTTAGTTCCCCCTCTGTGTTCGTTATGAAGTTTGAAAACCGCTTATTAAGTACAACATCTGATTGTATTTGCCCAATGTTGTGAAACGTCGAACCCTAAAGAAAACACCTATCTAATTTTCTTGGAGTTTGTGATGAGAACTACTTTTAGATTTTAAAGAAATATTTATTTGCATAAATGTTACTCGATATCCATTTTCATTCCACCATAAAAATATTATGATCTCACTTCAAGGTCATTACAGTGGTCAATCCAAAGTATACGGTGATGATAATAATAGTAGTTTTAAGGCCACTATTGACAGATACCTCTATTTTAACACTATATATATATAATTATTTAATATCAGAAGGGGTTTTGTGGATATTATAGTAATTTCAATAGTTGAGATCATGAGTCAACTGAAGCTAGACCACCATGGAAGATCTGAAAGCACTGGATGGCTTTTTCGTCCTATTGTGGGATTCATCAGCAGTGCGCATCCACGACCCCGCCTCGCGAGATTCGAACCCAGGATCTAACAGTCTCGAACGCGAGCGCTTGACCACTAGACCACTGGGCCAGCCGGGATCCCACGGTGTAATGTCTAAGTTCAACCAATCCGCGAAATTGAGCGACGCATCCATCATTGTCATCAGTGAGTTATTATTTCACAACAGATTATTATTTGTTTAAAATGTTTCCAAACATTATATCTAAGAGACATTGGTATTCCACTTAGTAATAATCATTATTACAAAATTGAAATCGCAAATTATTATTATTATTATTATTATTATTATTATTATTGACAGCAGAATTATTGGATATGCAATGTTATTTAACAATAAAATATAAATCAGTGTGTATTGACAATGAATGACAATTTAATCACAACTTAATTATTAATTGATATGAATTTTAATGAAAACTAAAAAAGGCAAAAATACAAATTTGATAATCCATCAAATTTTTTGAAAGTTAGTCATAACATATTGACAGAAAAATGTTAATTGGTAAATGATAATTATAGGAACAATAGTAAATGGTATCCATAAATCAATCAGTAAACGTATCCGAGCGGATGCATCATGAAATTAATCTCATAACTATGATGGATTATGCTTAAATGGTTACTAAAGCGATAACTCCGCACACACACATACACACACTTGGAAACCATTTGCTCAGTCACACGATTATCCATATACACAGCTCACTTTCCTGTTCTTTCAGTTTTGTCTACCAATCATTACATTTCTAATCTTAATTATCTCGTTTCCATTCATTTCCTCTCGTTCGTCATGTTAGTTAATGTGATTCATATTTGCATTATATTGAATTAGAGAGCAATGTACACGCACATTTACACAGAGACATATTGAGTTACAGAGAGTTACACTTCAATGTATCTAGTTAAACATTGTCTGTCAACCTAAAATAATAATGTATAAACAGAACTGTCAATTCACTGATTGTTCTCATTATTATATGAATCATTCTAAATGACATACTTTTTCTTTTAAAAAAAAACACGAGACGCAGAGAGATAGAGAAATAAAAGAATTATTATTATGATAAGGGTTAAAGAGAGAACACAAACAGAAATTGGGTATGACAATTATGATAATAACTCCGCCTGGAGTCCCTCCGGGGGCTACTGCCGGTCCCAAGCACGGATAAAGGAGGAGGGTTGGGCATGGGGTTAGCGTCCCCATCCCGTAGAAAACTAACTCGCTAAAAAACGCTAACAAGAAAAAATTATTCAAACTTTTAACCTCTGCCCTGGGAGTCAGAAGGTCTTCATTTAGAAGAACTATGACGCCTCATGATGAAAGCCGAATTCCTTCGGAAGTTACGAGGCCGATGCCCCTTCTGACAACCAGAGCGACCATTTATTTAGGTACGTGGAATGTTCGTACAATGTGGGACACCGGGAGAGCCTTCCAAATTGCTGCAGAAATGAGAAGATACAACCTAGAGGTACTTGGGATCAGTGAAACACATTGGACGCAAGTTGAACAACAACGACTAACTTCAGGAGAGCTTCTGTTATACTCCGGCCATGAAGACGAAAATGCTCCACATACACAAGGAGTTGCATTGATGCTGTCCAAACAAGCACAAAATGCACTTACAGGATGGGAATCTCATGGATCAAGGATCATCAAAGCCTCCTTCAAAACAAAAAAGGAGGGCATTACAATGAATATCATCCAATGCTATGCGCCTACCAACGACTACAATGAAGACGAGAAGGGCCAAACAAAGGACCTGACCATTCTGATGGGAGATTTCAACGCCAAGGTTGGAACGGACAACATTGGATATGAAGACATCATGGGACGACATGGACTGGGAGAAAGGAACGAAAATGGTGAGAGATTTGCAAACCTATGTGCCTTCAATAAACTGGTCATAGGTGGCACCATATTCCCACATAAACGCATTCACAAAACCACATGGACTTCACCGGATCACACCACGCAAAACCAAATCGACCATATTTGCATCAACAAAACGTTCAGGAGGACTATAGAGGACGTGAGAATCAAGAGAGGAGCTGATATAGCATCAGATCATCACTTGCTGGTCGTCAAGATGAAATTGAAACTCAAGAAGCACTGGACAACGGGGCGGACAATATCACAAAAGTTCAATACGGCCTTTCTTCAGGATACTAACAAACTCAACAAATTCAAGATAGTCCTCAGCAACAAGTTCCAGGCCTTTCATGATCTACTGAATGGAGAAGGAACTACTGTGGAGAGCAACTAGAAGGAGATCAAAGAGGCAATCACTTCAACATGTCATGAGGTCCTGGGTCACAAGAAGCATCATCACAAGGAATGGATCATTGTTGATACACTGGATAAGATTCAAGAAAGGAGAAACAAGAAGGCAGCAATCAATACCAGTCGAACAAGAGCAGAAAAAGCCAAAGCACAAGCTGAATACACAGAAGTAAACAAACAAGTGAAGATGAGTATCAGAATCGACAAACGTAAATATGTGGAAGATTTAGCAACGACGGCGGAAAAGGCTGCAAGAGAAGGGAACATGAGACAACTGTATGACATAACAAAGAAACTCTCTGGAAATCGTCGCAAACCTGAACGACCAGTAAAAAGCAAGGAAGGCGAGGTAATCACCAACATTGAAGAGCAACGAAACAGGTGGGTAGAACACTTCAAAGAACACTTGAATCGACCAGCTCCACTGAACCCACCCAACATCGAAGCAGCACCCACGGACCTCCCAATCAACGTTGGCCCACCAACAATTGAAGAAATCAGCATGGCCATCAGACAAATCAAGAGTGACAAAGCAGCAGGACCAGACAACATTCCAGCAGAGACACAAAAAGCAGATGTAGAGGCAACTGCAAGGATACTCCACATTCTCTTCAATAAGATTTGGGATGAGGAACAAGTACCAAAAGACTGGAAAGAAGGACTTCTGATCAAAATACCGAAGAAAGGCGATCTCAGCAACTGTGGTAAGTACAGGGGCATCACTCTTCTTTCAATACCGGGAAAAGTCTTCAACAGCGTATTGTTAAACAGGATGAAGGACTGCGTAGACGCCCAACTTCGAGACCAACAGGCAGGATTCCGTAAGGATAGATCGTGTACAGACCAAATTGCAACTCTACGGATCATTGTGAAACAATCAATTGAATGGAATTAATCACTCTACATCAACTTCATTGACTACGAAAAAGCATTTGATAGCGTGGACAGAACAACACTATGGAAGCTTCTTCGACACTACGGCGTGCCTCAAAAGATAGTCAATATCATACAGAGTTCATATGATGGATTACACTGCAAAATCGTGCATGGAGGACAGTTGACAAAGTCGTTCGAAGTGAAGAACGGTGTCAGGCAAGGTTGCTTACTCTCACCCTTTCTCTTTCTCCTGATGGTCGACTGGATCATGAAGACGTCAACATCTGAAGGGAAGCACGGGATACAGTGGACATCTAGGATGCAGTTGGACGATCTGGACTTCGCAGATGATCTGGCCCTTCTATCCCAAACGCAACAACAAATGCAGAAGACGACCAGTGTAGCAGCAGTCTCAGCAGCAGTAGGTCTCAATATACACAAAGGGAAGAGCAAGGTTCTCCGATACAACACAGCATGCACCAATCCAATCACAATTGACGGAGAAGATTTGGAAGATGTAAAAACCTTTACATATTTGGGCAGCATCATTGATGAACATGGTGGATCTGATGCAGATGTGAAGGCGCGGATCGGCAAAGCAAGAGCAGCATATTTACAACTGAGGAATATCTGGAACTCAAAGCAACTGTCAACCAACACCAAGGTCAGGATTTTCAATACAAATGTCAAGACAGTTCTACTGTATGGGGCGGAAACCTGGAGAACCACGAAAGCCATCATCCAGAAGATACAGGTATTTATTAACAGTTGTCTACGCAAAATACTTCAGATCCGTTGGCCGGACACCATTAGCAACAACGTACTAAGGGAGAGAACAAACCAGGTCCCAGCGGATGAAGAAATCAGGAAGAAGCGCTGGAAGTGGATAGGACACACATTGAGAAAAGCACCCAACTGCGTCACAAGACAAGCCCTCACATGGAATCCTCAAGGCCAAAGGAAAAAAGGAAGACCAAAGAACACATTACGCCGAGAAATGGAAATAAACATGAAAAAGATGAACAAGAATTGGATGGAATTAGAAAAGGAGGCCCAGGACAGAGTGGGTTGGAGAATGCTGGTCGGCGGCCTATGCTCCATTGGGAGTAACAGGCGTAAGTAAGTAAGTAATTATTATAATATTGCTACAAATTAAGTGATTGAGCCACTGGTTATTTAAGAATTTGGAGTCAGTTTATAATACACGATGCAAGTAAATACACACACAATCATTTAGGAGGAACACGGAAGTAAGTTTAAGCATGTAAGCAACGACCAGACAAATCAGGAACCAATCTTCTGAATTTAGTCATTCATTAATTCAGTCTTCAATCATATGTTTTCATAGACCATCCATACTCTGTCAGTAGATCACTCCTTCTAGTATGTTCATATTTATCCCATCCTGTTGAAAAATTTTGATTATCTATAGCATCGTACTTACAGATTTGTGGAATAATTTTCTTACATTATAGAGTTAACAAGACATCTAGTAAAACTGTTAGTTTTTTATTACTGTTGTTTTCCCCTTCCCACCATCTATATTGATACCTTCATAAAATGTTTAGCTAGTCGTTTATTTACTTCCATTCTGCCTCATTGACATAGAGCATTTAAATGAAGAGACAAGTTATGAATTGTGACATGTATGCAGTGTTTTAACACTGCATACAAATCCAAGGTATATATGTGTGTATACATGTGTACAGCCATAACAAATCGCTTGTTTTTAAAAAAAATAAATAAATGGGAAATTTTTCCAAAATATTTTTTTGCGTGTAACAAAGTGTTAGTACTTTGTGATATTTTCTGTTGTTTCAGTAAAAAAAAAAACAAAAAAAAAATAATTCGAATACAATGAAATTTGTATCTTTTGTCGTGAGTACCAAAACATAAATGAAAAAAATTACCTTATAACAGTCAATGAGTATGCAGTCTATTCAGAAAGAAAGTGATTGTAATCTGAATGTACATGTCAAATGTACGATGATGTGTATTTGAGCAGAGATACTGAATGAACACTGTAAGGTATTAGTAACAGTTTGAAGACAATAATATGTGGTATGATTGGAAATGATATGGATAAGAGAAATTGTGAACAATGACAATGATGATAATAACTTTTATTTCACTAGTTGAAAATCTATACAACTCAAACTAATATTCTGTTTTGAAATATTAGGTATTCTAAATCATCTTTATGTTTTATTGAAAACAATTTTGGACAGTCTGGTTGAAGCACTTTTATTTTTGAGAAACACCAATCTGTCGATAGACGACCTAGATTTTATTAAAATATGGTTCAATATTTCTGTCAAATAAAGTAAATACTCTAGAAAATTTTAAGTATGTATAGATATGGGCTGCCGATATAATTTACGTGATAACGACTACAAAAAGGATAAATGAGAAAATCTCAGATAAAACGCAGTAAGAAGAATGGATTTATAATTCCAAATAAAAAATGAGATGTTGCTCAACTAAATTTTGGAGCCGAGGTCACCAGGGTATTTCAAGACCGGTGACAAGTTTTTTTAAAATACATAAATCCGAGTTAAGCCAATGGTAGGGATAGATTCAACAGAATCTATTAAGTACAAAGTTACTTGCTCAATGATAATTTCGATTGAATGTACACAGTTTGTTTTTAAACAGCTAAATATTAAGCAGCTGAAGACACTTCATAAACTAGAAGAATCCATATTATTCTACTACGTTTGTGCTTTTGTATTATTCAAATTTACAAATGGGAATAACTGCACGTGATTAAATTTAATGATTAACAAATTTACTTTCAAATACTCGTAAACTGTTTTCATCGTAGTTAAGCGAGAATTTGATCAAGCCTGTAATCAGTTTTATCTTACCCTGGCTAAACAAGATGAGCACAACTTTACTTGTTCAGGATCAAAATCTTCTGGAGGCAGAAGAAATCTTTATTCAAAATAGCAAGGATTAAACAACAGAAAAGTTTAGCTTTGTTTCGACGACATAAATAACTGATTATATGGATAGATTTAAATAATAGGTGTTCAAGCGTTCAAATTTAGTCCCAGTTTGAGTTTGTACTGAGCCAATAATTAATGGAAAGCTTAATATCAATGGGTTTGTTTCGTTCTACAACTTACAGGTAATTGCTCACTTTCATTTACCATATTACACTAAGACTACGAAAGTATCCACTGAATCCAACTTCTAACAAGCAAACACATGCCTATCATCCTGTTGGTGAATTAACTTTTAATAAGCTGATATAAAGAATCAATTTATATTTCAAAACGTAATGTTTACCAAATAAATTGTAAATGCATTGTGCGTAGATTAGTCTTCTGGCAAATGCAGATCAATGAAATGAAAATAAAGTTTAATTAACTGCCAGACTGGTACAGATTTGTGATCTAAAAAATTCTTGTCCTCAGTAAAGTTCATCAATTTTCTAGACTCACATTAATTTTTTTACTCTCATTAATACCATTCTTTTTCCAGCTTCTCTGCACATGTTTTTCACTTTCTATTTAAATAATCATAGTTGATGAAAGAATATTTTAATCGTTATCGTCATTATGGAAAATCGGTAGGTATGATTACCTCTAATGATAATGTTGACTAGGATGATAACAACAACAACTAAGATTCCAGTCATTCAAACAACTGAAACGCGAATAAACACGTGTTCGTAATAAGCATGATTAGAGTCAAGAAATGTGCTCCGTAGTGAGCGGCAGTCTTTTGTCGACCACTCCAACGATGTATTCTGTTTGTGCTCATCTTTAAGTTAATTTCGTGCATCACCATGTTAGACGATGTCTTTTCTTACGCTTGCAGTTAGTGGTTCTTAAGAATAAACGGCTGTCTGAACATAGTTCCATCAGCCGGTTAGCATTAATTGTTAACCGAGTTGCGACACTGTAAGAACCATACAAATGGCTTTCACTTTCGTTAAGCTAACTACTTCAGCACTAAAATCACCTGCTACGTCTGAGAGTTAGGCTTTTCGAAAGAACTTGGAGTGTTTTACATAACATTCGTCTTCCAATTCATTCGAGTTCCAGTTAGTAGGAGTGTAGACAGAGATAACTAAGAGAAAAAAGCGTATTCACCTATCTTTCAGTGCTCCTACGTCCTCATTTAATCGGACAGCGCACAAGCAACTATCCATTGCAATGTAGTCTCAGAGGGCCTGATCTACTGTTGAATTAGTGCTATACCCATACCATCAAAGGTCGCAAGAGTTGGCAGTCACGTCCCAGATGCATGGAGGGTAAAGCTTCCTGGGTCTCTGTACAAACCAGGTAACGTCAAGTCAACGGACCATAATTGAATTCTGTATCTGTGTTTCGAAGACTAGAGTCCTAGTTACAGAAATCTGTTGATCTACTTGACACTATGTCCGAATATTGCAAGCTCCAATGTGTAGTTTAGAGAGCGTTTTTAAGAGACTAGGGATAACATATCGTCGACTTCAATAGTTAGCATTAGTCGTCCATGGGGATAGATAGAACATTAAGAATTGATGGAGGAATTTAATCGTGAGCACGAGCATCTCGGATGCTATTAAGGGTATGACAGAGACTATCACTTCCCAGTTGTCCACATCGTGGAAAACTATATCTGCTCGGGAGACCTGAAAAGGAAATTGAGTTGGTAGTTGTCGTGGAGACTTGTGAGCATCACCGCAGAGTTCAAGAGACAACTGCTTGAGAGGAGGCACACACGCCCTTCCTGTCAGAAGTTTGTAATGTGTTAGCTCCGTGCTTTAGAGGCCCCCACTGCCGGAGAGGGAGATCCGTGGAGTAAGGTGAGGTGGAACACTGTTAGGATCGAGCTTTCCTAACCTCTTCCGTTCTAAGAAGCCAGCATCACTGAAAGTGTTGTCAAGCTGAGAGAAACACATTACCACCGTCACACTTCAGTAAGATCACCACCAGCACTACTTCGCCCTCGAACTATGAGTATACTTCTATTAGTCTGACAGTTTTATGACCGACCTACTTGGCACGGTAGGACCTAAAGGAATATTTGTTTCAGCCAATATGGCTCGATAAGATTATTACAATAGATAGATCTGACTCCCACTTCTAGGTACCAGTTACCGTTGGTACTTTAAGTAGTCTCCAAATAGATCCATGAAGTTAAAAAGAATCCTAGTTTTCATATACGAACAGGAGCTACAAGTAAACAGCTGAGTGGGAAACAAATAAATTGTGTTCACTTGAAATTTTCTATCAATGGAAGACACAAATCAAAGAATTACGTTACTTACATAAACTCATATAGTGGTATTGATGGTAGTATGGAGTCATAATGATAGAATAATATGACTATAAATATTCGAACTTTTGAAAAATTCAAAGAGGCAGTTAATAATCTAACAATCACTAGTTATCCTTATGTTCAGTGTACAAATTAAAATATTAGTGAAAAATTTCTAAACAATATTTAAAGGAAATCGGAAAAAATCAAAAGATTTTTATTCTGAGTATATACATTTATGACATTGAAATATTTTCGACAGATATATATATATCAGAAGGAATTTTGTGGATATTATAGTAATTCCAATAGTTGAGATCATGAGTCAATTGAAGCTAGACCACCATGGAAAACCTGGAGGCACTGGATGGTCGTTTCGTCCCACTCAACCTTCATTAATTGTCGCGTATCTGTAAGATTTACGCTTGAACAATCCACTTTTACTACAGCCTTATGTCTTCTGAACCATGGTAAGATCTTTTCAGCTGTTCAGTTCAGTATTATAGAGGATTACTGAATAACTGTGGTGAGAACTTTCTTAAGTGTATAGAGCTCCCTATTATGAGTTCTGTATGTACGCTGTCTAGAAGATAAGATGACTGAGTAACAGTAATATGTCCCGACCGTTGTTGCTACCTTGACGTGGTGGTCGGGCTTTCCTATCGTGATGAAGCAACCGAGCTATACTGGCTGGAACAACCGTTCCTCAAGGTCCTACCATGTCAGACAGGTCGGTTGAAGAGCGGTAAGACTAAAAGCAACAAACCTAAGGTCCGAAGGCGAAGTCGTACTGCTGACTGTACAGAGGTGTGACAGCAGTAAGGTGTTTCCTTCAGACAACCAGCATGACAGCGATGCTGCCTTCCCACAAGAAGGGGTGGGGTTAGAAAAGGTCGACCCTAAAAATGTCACACCTCACCTTACCTCACGGATTTCCGTCTCCGGCGGTAAGGCTCTTTGAAGAACGGAGCTAACACGTCAAAAACCTCCCACGAAAAGGCCGTGTGCGACCGGCCTCAAGCAGTTGTCCCTTGGGCACTGCGGTCAGGCTCTCAGGTCGCTGAGACCACCTCTAATCCAATTTTCTTTTCAGGTACCTCCAGAAGAACCCTTCCACGGTGTGGGCAACCGGGAAGTGATAACCGCCCTCATACCTGTAACAGCACCCAAGACCACTGTATTCATAATCAACCTTCCTCTTCAATTCCTATTAATCCTCCTACATCGACTTTCAACCCTAAACTTCCTCCTTCGGCTTCTTCCTCAAGTGTCACCATAGCCAACGACTCTAGTGCTCAAAACTCTGTCCCAGGTCTACTGCAACTTCGCTCCAAACTACACATTGGAGCTTTCAACGTACGCATGTCAAATCGGTCAGCAGGCTTCCTTGGCTAAAACCTCAGAGTCTCTTTCCATTGATGTATGCTGTGTCTCCGAAACACGCATACAGGATTCCAGTGTGGTTATTCACTTGACCTCACCTCGGCAAAACGGAGAGCCAACGAGATACACCCTACGTGTATCTGGTGACCCGATGGCCAGTTCTCGTGGACTGGCAAGTGTAGGCAT